CCCAAGCTTTGCAAGCCTCTCCTTTTCCTTTGCACCCCCCCCGCCCCAATGCAATGCACCCCGCTTGCAAAGAGACCTGAGCTTTGCAAACTCCCCTCGAGCCAGTGCAAAGGATGCAATACGCCCCCCCTCTTTGTAATCCTCCCTTCGCTTTGCAAAGCCCCACAGCCCCGATGCAAGCGACGCGATGCAGTGCAACCCCCGCCCCAAGGCGAGGAGATCCGAGCCCTCCCGGGCTTTGCAAACTGCCCCTCGGGACTTCGCTACCCCCGGCGGCCCCTGCCTGCCGCCCCCCCGCGGCTGCCGGGCCGGGCCGGGGCCTGCAGGGGAAGCAGCCCTCGCAGCTGCAGCCGGGCCCGGGGCGCGAGCTCGGCCGTGATGTCACCAGCCCCTCCCGGCCAGGGACCCACGTGAGCGCGTGCGTCAGTGCGGGGAGGATGAGGTCACCCGCCCCCGCGCCCATTGGCTGCGCGCGGGGAAGGGGCCCGGCCCGGATTTAAAGGGGCAAGGAGCATTTATTTTTATTTTGTTTTTTTTGGGTCCGGCACTCGTGCAAAGGAGAGGGGAGCTGAGGGCACCCAAGGGTTAACGCCCCCCCAGCCCCATGGGCGCCTGGGCGTTGTAGGCGGAGAGGTGACTGGCAGCAGGTCCAGCCAATCACGGCGCGGCATGCGGCTTCTCCTTGGGGGCCCTCGCCTAGCCCCGCCCCCAGAGCCTGAGGTGGGGGGATCTTAAAGGGGCCGCTCGCTCCAGGTGGGGGTGGGGGAAGGGATGAGTGTGTGGCCCGCAACTCGACACAAGGCACATGTGTTGCAAGAACATAGGCACCACGTGCAGGTGAACTTCATGTGTGTACATGCATGGGCATGTGTGTAACTTCATGCTTAGGGACAGCCCCTTGCATGCACATGCATGCATACATACAAAGGCCCACTGAAACATCTCACACAGGTGTGCATGCATGTACAGCTGTGACATCATACTTACTCACACACACACACATATGCACACACACAAGCACACACCCACACACATAGGGACCTGCTGAAATATCTCACGTGTGCATGCACATGTGCAGCTGTGACTTCACACATGCACACACACGCACGTTACACTTGCGTTCCAATGCACGCCCACTCATGCACACACCCGCCACTTGTGTACGTGCATGTGATGAAACAGCTGTATACGATGTCATAGCATTGCGAGTGATGCCAGAGCTGTGGGCGTGTGATGAAGGAGCCCTGCATGTCATGTTGCAACTGTGGGAGAGGTCACATTGGGGAGGGGGGTGTACGCATGCACACGTGGGATGGTGCCATGGGTGTCTGCGTGTGCACGACTAGCTGTGTGTGGGATGGCACGTGAGTGCAAAGTCAGTGTATGGTGGGGGGAGGCTGAGACTGGACACAACTCATTATACCTCACCTCTTTTACCCCATCTCCCAGCCTTGCTCTTAAAGGCACAGCACCAGAACCAGTCCTCCTCCCGGTTTCACCCTTTGCAACCCCACCCCGCACCCCTGCCTCCCCTCGGACCCCAGTACCCCTCACTGCCTGCCCCAGTGCCCCCTTCCTGTATCCCTACATGCCCCATGCCTTGCAGCCCCCTGCTCCTGCAGCTTCCACCCCTTGCCCTGGAACCCCCACCCCACCCCACCCCTCCTGGGAGCTCCTTGTCCCAGGACCCCCCACCAGCTGCCCCCAGGACCCTCCAGCTTGTGCCCCCTCGTGAAAGAAGCTGGTATGAACTTCCCCGCTGCTGCCAGAGGCTGGGCACTGGCGCCCCCTCGTGGAGAAACCCAGCACAACCCCTGCTCCTCCAAGCTGGGAGCGAGGAGCAGGCTCCAGGATGCGGCTGGTTCTGGGGTGGAAATGTGGCAGCATGGAGATTTCCCTGCACCATCTACTGCTGTTTTTTGCAAATCAAGCCATTGCATTAAAGAAAAACCTCCAACCCCACCGATCCCGCCTCCCCGGGGTCTCCCTGGCTGTAAGGCAGGGCGCGAAGCTCAGGGGCTCCACCCCAGAGCCAGCTGCATCATGCCTGGGTGAGTCAGGGGGGCTGAGGCATTCAGGGCCCTGGATCTGGTGCAGGGGAGCACAGCCCCCACCCCTCATCACCAAGGTGGAAAGTACCCCGACAGCTGCCCCTGAAGCCCCCGCCTCTGTTACTGCCCCCCCAGGGCAGCTGGGGCTCTGTTAGAACAGTGGGACCTATCTCACGCATCAGCGGGTCCTCTTCTGGCACTGCCAGCTGCGCAGGCGCACTCCGGAGATAGCGTCATTGTTTTCTTCTCTCTGTTGTGACGCATGCGCACTGCGGAAAGACTGCGACCTCTTTGGCGCCTGTATGCGAGGTCGAGACGAGGGAACTTATCTCGCGCTGGCGTCGCCGCGACTTCTCTCGCGCCTCCCCCAACAAAACAGAAGCGGGGCGGGTCCCGATCTGGCGCCCCACCCCGCCCCCGCGGCTGGGCCAATCAGCACGAGGCTGGCGAAGGGAGGGGCCAATCAGCAGGCGCGGAACGGAGCCGGAGCTAATCCGACGGCTAGGAATGGGGGCGGGGCTTGAGGCGCCAGCCAATGGGCGCGGGACCGGCCCCCCGCCAGCGGGCCGGGCCTGGAGGAAAAGGACCCGGCGGGGAAGCTGGGGGGTCGCGTAGAGGCGCAGCCGGGCAGGGCGCACCCTGGGCGGGCAGGTCCCGCCGCCATGTCCCGGTGGTTCTTCCCCTGGTCCAGCTCCATCAAGAAGCGGGCCTGCCGCTACCTGCTCCAGCACTACCTGGGCCACTACCTGGAGGAGCGGCTCAGCCTCGAGCAGCTCAGCCTGGACCTTTACCAGGGCGCCGGCGCGCTCCGGGACATCCACCTCGACGTCTGGGTGCGTCCCGCAGCGCCCCCCACCGGCGGCAGGGCCCGGGGGGCTCGGGGAAGAGCCCCGGGCAGGGGGTGCCGGGGTCTAGGGGGGCAGGGAAGGGGTGTTGGGGCAGGGGCAGAGCCTGGGCAGGGCCTGGGGGCGAGGGAGAGG